TACCACTATGATTTTAAAGGAGCACTTGAAGAGGCTAGGAATGAGGTGCGGAATAAGATCCGTTGGGCAGCTTCACGCCTACGAGGAAATTCTTTTGATAGATTTTTTAACTATAATATCTTACCATACGCAAAAACAGCAAAGTCTTTGCAAAGTGGACAACCAATGGCACCATGGATGGCTTCAGTTATTCGACATTTACGATCGGAGGAGGAAAGGAGAAATAGAAGAGCTACACGTCTTTTGTTTCAGAGAGTGGCAACGAATTTACGCACAAAACGTATTTTGAATAGTCAACTCTGTAAGGGATCTGCTATGGCTTCCTATGTTACTCTCTTGTGGAAAAAGTGGACAGAGAGATGGTACAAAAAACGCGAGACGATAAAAAGAGAAGGGGCAGCTGATATTCACCGCATGTTGGACATCATGGTAAGTAACATGAAAAGCACATCGCGACAGCAACAGAGACTGGGAGAACAACTGCGACTGGAGGAAGAGAGACGGCAAAAGAATTTTAAAGAGTTGCGAGATCCCTGTGCAGACCCGAGTAGTGCACACTTTGATGTGGCACACCTTCCGAAAAAAGGCATGTAAGAGACATATCTCAACTGCATGTACGCATAATAAGCATAAACGGTTTCCCAAATAGAAGAAAACAAAAAAATAAAATGCTCTGATCATTTTGCACCACCAATAATAGGAGCAGCTCTTTTCTTTGTCTTGGTACCTTTCGGGTATTCTTTTTTGGTACTCCATACTTCTGAAAAAACAACTTTGATGTTGTTGTTATTTGTAGAGAAAGTAAAAAGGAAAGAAATACATCTCCGCTAATCAGACTCTCGTGTTTTTCTTCTAATTAATTTTTGTATTCTACACTGGTGGCAAATCCCTCTTTCCCCATTCACCCCTCATGGGTAGCAGTGTTGTTAACTGAAAGAGATTTCGAAAATAACATTTCCTTACAAATATCAAGTTAAGTGAGGAGAGATATGATGTATAAGAAAAGAGAATTGTTTTGAATTACATGTAAAGAAACCCAACCACGCAGCCTGCATATGTGTACAAAAATCCAGGT